CGGAGCTCCTATAGCTCTAATTACTTCTAAATATTAACATGTAAATACCACCCTGCATAAGCATGTCTATGATAGAAAACTGTGGCAACCATTGATGCAGGTGTATGCTTTCTAAGGAGAACCAACTTATCTAAAAAGTTATGAAATACTCCAGAGCAGGTAGTACAGTTGTGCAAGTAAGTCCATCATTCAACACGCTTGCTACCTGCTGCTCTAACTCTACATGAAACCAACCTCACAGGCAAATGTGAGTCCAGTGAGCAGGAGCTGCTGACGGCTGCCCAGTACTCTGACAGAGGCTGACCAGTCCAGGTCAGTGTCTCCACCTAAACTGTGTTCATGCAACTTCAAAACCTTGTTTTCTTGTGTGTGGGTAGAACTGATTGCCAACTACATTTTAAAGAGCATTTTAGATCTGGGGCCTTTTCCCATTCCCAGTCTTCTCCGGTTGTCTTTGTGAATGAATTTACAGGCATTTGGGCTACATCCTTGACTTGATCCTATATTAAGAATAAAGAAGATAAGTTTGTGCAGGGGGAAAATAACAAAGGAGGGACTTTCCTCCAAGATCTTTGAAAAAAGGGACATTTGCATAAGCCATATTTAACCAGAATCTTTGTTTTATGTTTTTCCTTTCTAAGGGCTTTGGTAGACTCCCTCCCATTGTCCACCCTCCCACTAATCAGAGAACAAAGGCTCCAGGATGCCTCCTAGGGATACTTCCTGGCTCATCATCTGTGTGCCTGGATAATTACATTTAATGACTGGCATCTCCTGCTCCCATTTCTCTTCCCTCTTAAATTATCAGATATGCTCGTCTTCAAGATGCCGCTGTGATTCTGTCCCTCTCTTGCTCTCTCTTTCTAAAGACTGTGGTACAAGCTTCCTGAGCTTTAGTTTGAAATTTAAAGCCATGTGCTGGCATTTCCAACTCTGCTTTTCTTTCAGCCAGTAATATTTGTCTGCATAGCAACAGGCCCCAGTCATTTCTTTTCTTTCGTTCATTCTTTTTTCTTTTAAACTTGTGTTCTTCTCTCGTACATCCTGACTGCAGTTTCCCTTCCCTCCATTCCTCCCAGTTCCTACCCTATCTCCCCTCTCACCCAGATGCACTTCTCATCCATTTCCCAAAAAAAAAAAAAAAAAAAAAAAAAAAAAAAAAAAAAAAAAGGAGCAGGCTTCTCAGGAACATGGCGCCTAAGAAGTTACAATTAAGACTGGATACAAATACTCATATCAACTGAACCAGAAACCCAGCAGGAGGAAAAGGATTCCAAGTGCAGTAAAAGAGTCAGAGACACTGCCACTCCCATTCTGGGGAGTCGCACAAGAACACCAAGCTACACAACCATAAGGTATATAAAGAGGATCTAGTTCAACTATACAAGGTCCATGTTTGTCACTTTAGTCCCTGTGAGCCCTGCTTAATTGATTCTGTGAGCCGTGTTCTTGTGGTGTTCTAGACCCTTCTGGCTCCCCAATCCTTCTTCCCCACCTTCTACAGGGTTCTTCCGACTCTACCTAGTGTTTGGCTATGGGTCTCTGGATCTCCTCATCAGTTGCTAGATGATGCCCCTCTTATAACAACTGATACTGATCTATGAGTATAACAGGATACCATTAAGAATAATTTTATTTATTTATTTATTTATTTATTTATCTATTCATTTGCCAGTCTTGTTTGGATACATGGATCTCCCAGGGAAGGGGAAATAGAATAGTTTGTGAGTAGACAGGGGACTAGTGGGGATGGGAACAGGAAGGATCAGGTGGGGTGAAAGGGACAGAGGGAGAGAGTCCTGGAAAAGATGATTGGAATTGGGGGGCATTTGGAGGGTGATATAGAAACCTAGTACAGTGGAAACTCCCTGGAATCTACAAGAGTGACTCTAGTGAAGACTCCTAGCAATGGAGGGGGTGGGGTGTGCAGAGCCTGAATTGGCCATCTTCTATAACTAAGCAAAGCTCCTGGCAGTGTGAAAGTGGGGTTTAAATGAGTTCACCAGACTCAAGATAAATGATAAATAGGAGCTTATTAGGGAAGGACTTACACAGATAAGAGTAAATAAGCACTTCTGTCTTCCTGCTCCAGAAAATGTAGTCTCTGCCCTTCTGATGCTCTCTCAGCCTCTCCTCTACCTTAATTGGTCATGCCTGCACCTGAAACCATGCCTCAAAGGTGTGGCCACCACTACAAGGCAAGGCAAGATGCCTCTGCAACAGTGGGACTAGGACATCAAACCAGCCACAAAACCTTGGAGCTACAATGTGTACTGCCTGCAAGATTGCTGGAGTATGGTGGTACTGAACTGGTGGGAGTGGCCAATCAATGATTGTCACAACTTGAGGTCCAAACAACAAGAGGGAGCCCACACCTGACACTGACTGGATGGCCAGGAACCAGAGGTAGCACAACCCAGAGTCCCAGGATAGAACCAAATATGCCTAGGAGTAACATTGCTTTCAATAATAAAATTTAAAAGTTTCAGTTCACAAAGCAGTTTCACAACATCGCAGTAACTCTTGACAAACTTCACAATAACCCTAGGATGTAAACAGGTAGACTTCCTTATTTTACAGGCAAATAAGCTAAATCTCAAAGTAGTAAACTCTACAGTCTTTGAGGAGATTTATCTCAGTATTGTAATAAAATTCTTAAAATCACATATTAACCTTATGTTGTGAATAGAAGACTGTGTTTTGAAATAGTCTCTTTCTTTTTGTCTCCTTGTCCTTGACGTCTTAAGTGACTAAGCAATTCAGGCAGGGCTCTGAGCACTTGACTCTGTTCTCTGTGCACTGTTCTTTTCTGAAGGGCGCACCCTAAGCCCTATGAATGTGATTGACACCTACTAGTAGGCACACAGGATGAAGGTCTTCTGGAATAGCAATAGAATCTTAATGACTTTAAGAAAAAAAAATCCTTATTTCACAAGATGTAAAAATGTGCATAAAAGCAGCATTGGCCATGAAACAGGAGAATATTTCCAGCCAGTTTCTGTCTCTGTCTCTGTCTCTGTCTCTGTCTCTGTCTCTCTCTGTCTCTCTCTCTCTCTCTCTCTCTCTCTCTCTCTCTCTCTCTCTCTCTCTCTCTCTTGTTTTTGTTTTTTTTTGTTTTTTTTTGTTTTTTTTGAGACAGGGTTTCTCTGTGTAACAGCGCTAGCTATCCTGGAACTCACTCTGTAGACCAGGCTGGCCTTGAACTCACAGAGATGCACCTGCCTCTGCCTCTGGAGTTCTGGGATTAAAGACAGACACCACCACTGCCTGGCTTTCTTTCTTTCTTTCTTTCTTTCTTTCTTTCTTTCTTTCTTTCTTTCTTTCTTTCTTTTTTCTTCCTTTTCTTTCTCTCTCTTCCTTCCTTCCTTCCTTCCTTCCTTTCTTTCATGTATTTAGGTCTCATCATTTGTTTGTTTGTTTGTTTGTTTGTTGTTTGTTTGATTGTGTCTCACTATGTAGCCCTGGCTGGCCTGGAACTCACTATGTAGACCATGTTAGCCTTGAACTCACAGAGTTCTGCCTGCCCCAGTCTTTGCCTCACAAGTACAAGGATTGAAGACATGCACCACTACTTCCAACTCCAGTCAGTTCCTAACAAAATTCTGTCCTCCCATAGGAATTCAGGCACTGCAGTTAGCTGAATACTTACCACTGCACTTGTACACTTTTTCTAATTTTTATTTGAGTATATTTTATCCATTTACTGTGACTGCTCTAGCTGTCATCGTGAACGTGGGAGAGCAGAGACTAAAAATGAGGTGGACTAAAGTCTCATACAATAGTCATCTTTATTCAGGACATCAGAAAGTTTGTATTTTGAGGGTTAGGCAAAATCATATGTGCAAAGTTTCAGAATTCAGGCAGTATAGAGTCATGAGGGGAAGGTCACATGTGTTTTGGCTTATACAGTCAAAAGGGCAAGGCTACATTAGTTCAAGCCAAATACAGTCATGAGGATAACCCTTGCTTGGAAGTATTATCTAAGTAATAAGAGTAAAATGATGGGTAATCTGAAGTAACTCCCCTCCCATTTATACCAGGAGGGGCACAAAAACACATTCCAAGAAGAAATTCACATTGTACAGGAATAAAGCTTACAGATCTCTGGTCTTGTTTACTTGGAGTTTTCTCCCAAGCTCTCAGAAATCTCCTCACACAGCTTTATTCTTGGACTGTAATCTAACAATTTACCAAGTGTCAAGTAACAAACGAGGAACTCCAGAGATCTGGCACAGTTTCTTCCTTCAAGTGAGGTACAATCTCAGCTAGGAAAAACAACATATATTCTTGTGTATGAACAAGAGACTAAGTAACAGTTTATAAAATTGGGCTGTATTTAAATCAGTCATGTTACAGCTCTTGGAGAGTGAAGCCCAAAAAAGATATGGCCTCTGGGTTGGGCAAGTTAAAGAGCTAGTATAGAAGAAATGGCGAGGGTTGGGGGACAGCTGTCCTGAGGCTTGAAGAATAGAATTTATGTATCCGAGTAGGAGAAATTAAGGAAAGGAGAAGGTGTCCTAAGCTCCAAGACAGTGGGTTGCATCATTATTAGCAATCAGTGATCATCAGAACACTGACCTCATAGAACCTAGAGAGACTTAATAAAGAGAAGGGAAAACTCAAAACTAAAATCAATGCAGGTGATCTTCTCTTGTTTGTTCGGTGGCTCTGAGATGCTGTGTGTGGAAGTTGGCCACCTAAGAAAAGGAGATAGGGAAGGTGAGTATGAACAACCACAGTGGCTTCCACTCACAGAAAATGGGCTTACGGTGCAAATGAGACTTTTCCAACTTGGACAGAACACCATTCTTTGGAGGTGGAAAGTAAAGATTTTTTTTTATCAACTTTCTCATAGTTTATGAACTATGTGCAAGGAATCTGAGTTTTCAGTTACGCATGTATCAAATTTTCACTGTAATTGGCATCAGATACAGTACTGAAGTAGGAAACAAGAGTAGGAAAGAACAAAAGCAGACATCTTTCTATTCTAAGCAGCCCTTTTCCTCAACAGTCTTATTTGTTCCTCCACAGAAAAGATAATAAAGTCCTGAGCTATATCTATCTATATCAACAAAAATTATGGGCTAGGGTTATGGGGATGGGGAAGCATGGAGGAGTTTAAGGGAGCTGTTGGCCAGGTAGAAATCTTTCCAGAAACACTGAGACAAACATTTCATCTTCAGTGTGGGAGATGCCTGCATGCAAAATCTCTTCGGGAGGATTTGAAGTTGTTTCACAATGGTTCTTTTAGTACTGTGTGACTTTTCCTTTCACAAAGGATGAGTTAGTATGGATCATCCACCCTGAAAGAGAAACAACAGATCATAAAATTAAACTAAGGAACTTTTAAAAAGGCAAAAAAAAGTGAAAATTTAGTGATACAGAAGAACGTTCTCCAGCTGAGAGAGGCAAGGAAATTGCAAGCACTCTAGGAATAGAGTTAACAGCCACTCGCATGAAGAAGAGGTGCAAGGAAGTGCTTCCCATTGGGAATTTTGGACAGGATATGGGGCATTTTACAACAAGTGGAGCAGAGACACTAAAGCAACATTTTACACATTCATATGTTAGCCAACCCCAAGTTAACGTTTTAAAAATTTATTTTGCATCGGGCATTGGTAGAGCATTCCTTTAATCCCAGCACTCGGGAGGCAGAGGAAGGCGGATCTCTGTGAGTTCCAGGCCAGCCTGGTCCCAGAAACAGTGCCAGGATAAGCTCCAAAGCTATGCAAAGAAACCCTGTCTCAAAACACCAAAATAAATAAATAAATAAATAATAAGTAAAAAATAAAATTTATTTTGCTTTTCAGCGCACGTGCACGCATGAGTGAAGTAGTCTGAGGAGGCCAGAAGAGGGCGTCGGATTCCCTGGAGCTCGAGTCACAGACAGTTGTGAGCCAAGCAATGCAGATGCTAGGAACTGAACTTGGATTCTCTGCAAGAGCAGTACACACTCTTAGCTGCTGAGTCAGCTCTCTGGCTCCCCTCTCCAAGCAAACAGTCTGAATCAGAGTTGACATTTAAAATATTTACTTCTCTAATAAGCTCCCCACTGATGTTCATCTTGCTGGTCCACAGATCACATCTGGCCATATTTCTGCAATACTGCTAATCTCCATGTCTACCCTTTGAAGGACACCGCATGCTGAATTACAGTGGAGAGGTAAAGTGGAACTTGCTGTGCTCAAATGGAAAGTGAAATGAGAGAAAGCAAAGCCCATGGAAAGGAGTGGTATTAGTTCTAAATTAGTTCTGGTGGACTATGACTTAGAGAAATGGTGACAAATTTAGGTTCATGAATATAGGTGCCACTGTTCTCTGTGCGTCAACTGTGCCATTCTTGGAAAGGGTGGAGGAGAGTCATATTTCTGTGTCTTTGCACCTTTCGAAAGGAGAACCTGATTCTGAGGCTCTGGTCTCGTGATGAGCTGTCGGGGTAAACCACCATGGCAGCTGCAAACTTGCTTGCCAGTAGAGAAATAAAACTGTTTCTGAAAGCAGAATCTCGCACATACCCTCCTCTGAGGTTGGCATCATATCTTCCTGTATATCTTGGGTGTAGCTTTTACCCAGGTAGAATTTAGAAACTAGAAGCCAAATGAGGTGATAAACAGAAACCATTTGCAGAAAAGTCAAAATAACCAGCAAGAATCAAAACCACAAGTGCTCAAGGAGCCATTCATTCATTAGCCAGAAACTAATAGGAGTGAGTACAGAGAACTGTGAGAATCAACGTAAGTCAGGAAAAAAAAAAATCACAAGGTGTTTAGTGTGATAGTGTTCATCTTCCCCTTGGCTTGTTCTAGAGACACACCCTATTTCTTCCACCCCACCCTTCCTCAGTGCCATCACACAATGGTTTAGTGTGAAAAAAAATCACATTACTGGAAGAGGAGGGCCTCTGGTACTAACGACTCTAACATGGAAATCAAGAGTCTGTGATCTAGACGCGTAATAGTTATCAGGGCATCATCCCTGGATACCGGTGCTGCCAATCCCAGCTTTTCCCTTCATTCAATGACTTCCCGAAAGCGATTGTCATTGCCCCTTCTTCTGTTTCTTTACTGTAGTTAGGGATAGCGATGCTCCCTATCTACACAGACTTGTAGGCAATTTTTCATCATTTCAGACTTACCAGAGTAGTATGCAACGTGGATTGTGTATCTGCTGAAAGTTTGTTTTTATCTGTTATTTATTGTTGTAACTCTGTCACTGGCTCAAGTCCTACAGGTCAGTTATTTACTTGATGACAAAGATAGTTTTGACACGACTTCCTCCATCTTTCTAGCCTGAAAGTTTTGTAAATTTGGATCACCTTAGTTAATCAATGAGAGATGGCCCAAGGCAGCCAATCAGTTTATAGGTTCTAGAAGTGCTCTAGATACACAGGGGTGTGAGGAAAACAGCTGCCCTTTCAACTTCTATTGCACAGACCATCAATTAACCAGGAGCTCTAGGAAGCTCCACCCGTGGCCCCTGACTTTGCTTTTATGCCCACCTCATGGTGACATTGTTTCAGTTGTGTTCTATCCATAACATTTTTGATGATTCTCTCTCAGGCTTTGGCTTTTTTGAAAGATTTTTCTGTGATCACTTCGACCAAAGATTTTTCATCAGTATGAAATTCATCAGCCATTACCATTTCTGCCTTTTATTGTTCCACGATTCTAAATATTTCTGTCTTAACTCCCCTATTAGGCAATCATTTCCCTGAGGTTAGAGCCAAGGACTTACTGCTTTGAGAGTCTCTGTAACACTTAGCATTGTTTGAATATACAAATGTTCACTAAACAAGTATTAATTAGTACTTGTAAAAAAGTCAACCCACTGTTAATAAGCAATTAGTAACTAAGTTTATGCTATTTTTGGCCAGCATCTTCAGCTGGCCTCCCAATTCTTGAAATGAAATGAACTGTGTTGGTGCTGTAGCTGTCAAAGCACGTGTTACTGTGGCCAGAGCACCACTCTGGGTAGACAAAAAGACTTTCACTAAGTGGGTAGGAGCACAAAAGAAATCTTTACATCCTGTGGGTTTCCTCCTATGGAGATAGGAGGCCAGCTCCCAAAGAAACCTCTTTCTTACTAGGACTCCATCGACACAATTACAGTAATAAAAACAGAGTGAAAAGACTCCATTGACCCAGGTCCCCACTCCTTCCACTCTCCCCCTCTTTGTGGCAAATTCTAAAGAAAGCAAAACATGTTCTGCCTCCAGCTGTTTGTCCTAAATAATTGTCCTTATCCTTCCCCCAGCTGACTTCTGTCTTGTTCTATGCACTGAAAATGGCTTTCCCACCCATGTCCTTAACACACCGGTGGAAATGCAATGGTTTTTCTAACTGCATTCGAGACTTTCCACTTTTGTCTTTCCTTAATGTCTCTAGTCCCCAGCTATTCTTCATTCTCTTTCATCTGTGTCTCTGGCCCCCTCTTTTCATCCTTCTTTTCCTCATTTCAGCCAGATAGGCCAGGCATTTCCAGTGTTTGTGTCTTTCCACAGCAATCTCCATTATTATCTAATGAAAAAGTTAGAACACCAAGAACTAACTGGGGCAAGCCTTCCTTAGGAAAGCAGTGGGTAGATTTCACACTCCACAGCTTTTCCTCATTTCTGAAGGCTAGTACTTATTAGATCAGTAGCCGTTCACTCTTATGTGTTAATTATGGAGGGCCTGTGCCTGGGCAGTTCCTTTTTATAGTTATGCTGGTTGGAAATGCTCATTGAATTATTTGTTCCTCGATTGTTAGGTTTTGGTCCTGTAAGCTAAGACAAGAAGAAACATAACAGCATGCTTCTAATCCTCAAGGAAAATTCAGAGACTACCAGGAAACATTCCTATCTTATGAAGTCTCCTTTCTTAGTAGATATATTTGTACATCCACTCATTTAATTCCACTAGCATCAAAAGTATCAAGATTTTTAATGGAAGCCAGTGCTCTGCTACTTTAGCTGGAAATGCTATTTGTATGAGAGCCCTGTGTAAATAACTACCATGAGGTTGTTCTATCTATAACAGGAAGCATCCTAAGGAAAATAGTGATAAATAGATGTGGAAATTCTTCATCGAAAAGCTTACCTTTTCTGAGATTTCTTGCCTAAAAATAGAAGAGAGAACAGAAAAATGGTATCACCAAAAAGTAGACAATTTTAATTTTTTAAGTAAAGGCTATGCCCATCCTTGAAGTACATTATGCATTTGGTAAGTGGGCACCCACATATGACTAAGTGTATCTAGGGTACCAGTGAACATTTGGTGCTGTAGCACAACAAGCATGATGCAGGTGCTTCTTGGGACTCCATCCCACCTCCTGTGCTGCTCATGAAGCCAGAGCCTAGGCTGACTTCCCTCCTGGTCAGGCCCACTGTCCCAGTCACAAATTTATATCACATTTCATCCTGCCTCCATTTCATCCCCTCCCTAAAGGACTTAGCACCCCTCCCTAGGTGCTAACTCTGCAAACAAATGGGTCAATGTCTCTCAGCTTTTCTTATGCGTATCCTGAGAATTTTACTCTGGTCTTATTAGTTAGTAGGAATCAGTGGATATTGCATAGCCTGATTTGAGTAACTAATGTATTTTCAACAATGTATGCAATCATATATTTCATAGTTTATTAATACACTGTCTTCTCTTTTGACTGGCTACATGGGGGCTAGATCTGAAAGTCACTCCTGTCAAGGTGATAGTACTTCGTGACACACAAGTTTGTGTCCTAACATAAACCTTCTTGCCAACTTAGTTTTGCTTACTCAGTTGGGGCTTTCTTTTTCTCGCTCTTTAGGTAATTTTGGTTGACTGTGCAAAGTATATTTTGGGAACTGAACCACATTCTTGAATGGAAAAGAATGTAAATATTGATTCTTGATGGTCGGAAGAATTGAGGTCTCCCAGAAAGAAGAAGAAAGGGGACAAAAAACCAGAAAGAAAGCTCTCTGGGGAAGCCGGCTCCTTTAAGAGGGGATAGATTTTGTGTATGTCCGTGTCTGTAAACTAGTATTGTAGAGCTGTCTCACACACATTGTAACTTCCTTATTGGGTTAGTTAAAGAAGGTATTTAAAATGTTTAGGTCAATGCCTGGCATATGATATACAGTACTCCAATTACTTTTTAAAAATATTTTAAAGCTCTAGAAATTGATATTTCAAACCTTTCTTTTAAAATTTAGCTTTCAGATATGGGCCAAAGACATTGATCAGGGAGAATCAAGTTCAAGTTCATTTGTTCATCTTCACAGAAATATTTTTTTTACTTTTAGGAGCAATGAGAGCAACGACAATATATAAACAAAACCTGGTCCTACTGAGGGGGTGTCATGTCCTACTGAGGAAGTGTCTTTTTTGAAGAAAAGAGAACTAAGGGAGAATGTGTTCAGTTTCATGTAGGAGTGGAGTAACCCTGTGTGTTGGGTCAGGTGGAAAAGTCTTCCAACCGAGGAAAAAAACAGCCTTCTGAACCTGCAGGCAAATGCTTTTTAGGGGTGCTATTTTGAATGGAAGAGCCACCTGCTGAGCTGAGCTCCTGCTAATGAACTGTTTTAGAGCTTGTCCTCAAAATGTCATTGCTTTGGAGAATGAGAAAAGCAATGAGTACTGAGTGTTTCTCGCTGAGCCCACAGCCAGGGTGGGCCCAGGAAAAGAGAGGTAAACACTAACTAGACCCAAGATGGTTAGGGTATGGGCAGCCCTTGTACCAGGTCATAAAGTCCATCTGAAAGAAGAAAATTTGGTTCTTTCCAGTTTGATTAACCCAATAAAATGATAACATTTTTGTAATAATGTATAAATTCAGAATTATTATTTGCACTATAATTCTTATAAAAGTATCTGTTTAGTCTCTATGGGTTTATCTTGGGGACATAGCCACCAATTCTCCAGGGGGGTAAAGAGCAAACTTATGACTAAAATTTTTTAGAACAAAGCCATTCACTTGCAAACTGGAGAGATCAGTAGATGTTTGACAGTTGAGGACTATTGAAGACAGAACAGTTACCCTGAATTTCTCTTCAGAGTCAGTGATCTCTGGGAGCTGGCACTCTCTTTGGTGGCATAACTGTCACTAGCCCCTGAGCCCGTTATCTGTTTCCTGTTTGCCCCACTCCAATTCCCACAGCAGGGGCATGCCATTTTCAGGTTATCAGTTCGAGATCTTGTACAGAAATGACTGACTCCAAGGTTAACACTTTAAAAAACAACCTACGGTTCTTCTCATTCCACTCATAATACAACCTTAGCCAGCTAGTGCTCACAAAAACACATGTGACTTTGATTCCATTCCTTTGACTCTTCAGCCACCTACGAAATGGATCGAATTTTAATTTGGGGGTCATTATCTTTCTTATTAATAGGACTTATCACCCCTGAAGTTATTGAGCTAATAGCCACCTCATTTCGAGAGCATGTGTTATGAATGGCTGCCTCCTTCTCCACTCATTGCAGCAAGACAGTAGGAGTGAGATTTTGAAGTCTCAGTGAAAAGACTAATCAATGGTGAAAGAAAATGCCACTCTTTGTTTTGTGCTGGTCAGTAATAGTCTTGTATGGTGGTAGTATCCAAACTCTATGGAATTTCAGCAGAAGAGACGTTTAAGCTGTTCGGCGCTGACACATTTTAGTTAGTGGTGTTCTTGTACATGGATAGTGCACCCTCTGTTGTTTTTATAGATTGGTGGAAAATGAACCTATCACCTCTTATTTTTAAATTTGGACCGAAGATCATATCATAGTGGAAGATCATTTGAGACTGGTAGATAACATTCCTTCAATTGCCAGTGCACATGGGCTGGTTAACAAAATACACACAATGACTCAGAAGGGGAATGTAAGTGGCCATCAGCTTACATCACAGGAAGTAGCACATAGGAGTCAGTGATTGTTTTAAGATCATTCATAGTCCCATTCATGATACAGGGGGATCTTTAAAGCTGCAGGAGTATATGAATTTCACAGTTTTGAATAGATCTGCTAGGTGAACTTGGGCAAAGTGTCAGTGCACACCCAAAGGCTGCTGCAGACTATGGGCCTGTGGCTGGTGTACTGATCTAAAGAATATACAGGAGGGAGGAAGGAGGCAAAAGGAAGAAAGTTATGTTCTCATGTAGTATTCTATCTACTTTCTGTGCAACAGAGAATAAAGTTTTGAGGAAGTTCTCCTTTTCTCCTTTTCTTCTTTCCCCAATTTTTTGCCTTCTTTCCCCAACATATATTTGGTATACTAGGTTACAGCCTCAGTGAGCAGATTCTAGAGAGAATCCACAAGGATTTCTTCCGAGGGCAATACAACTTCCACATGTCAATACCCAGACAATTATGTGACTCTTAAAGATGTCAGATATTTGAAAACCTTAGACAATAATAGATTCACGTTCCAATGATACTATAGTGCTAAGATGGAAGTCATCCAGGATCCTGGAAGATAATGGAAAATGCATCCTCTCTTCAAACATATATAGGACCAAAGAACTATTACAATGTCTCATTTAGCCAAGCTCCTCATAGCAAGCCATCACATGCCTAATGTGAACCTTTGGCTGGCTCTTTTAAATGAAGGTATATGTCAAGCGTCTCCAGGGACTTATGTCTACCCAGCTTAGAAGTCGCTTGGCACTTGCTTCAGTTAAATCGCTTGCATTTTATTTCCTGTGGGGTTTCTTTCTCTTTTTTTTCTACTTTAAAATTGTTTTACTTTGATGTTATTGAACACACCTACCTTTTTTTAACCTCCTTGCCAGCCAAATGATAAATGCCAGCCCAGAGAATGCGGTAACTGTGACAGCCACAGGAATGAAGAGGGGGTTATAGTCGCCTTCTTTGATCTTTGAGAAAGTTCTGTCTGTCTCTGAAAGAGGAGTCAGTAAGACATATGATATGAGACCCCAGCATTATTTCCTTAGTCCAGTTCATGATACTTGGCATTTTGGTGTCCTGGTGTTCCCCTGGTAATGACATATACTATAGATGAGGAAAGTAGCATGGGAAGGCCCATGATGAGTATGCAAATAGGCTAGCCTCTGTCCTGGTGCCTATAGGATCAGAGTTCTCAGATCAGCAATTCATGGAATTCCTGGAGATGAGTCTAAAATTACTGACAAGAAGTAGTCATCATGATGTTCTACCCCTGGTTTCATTTAAATCTCTATGCATTCTCTGTGCATTGAGAAGGGCTAGAAAGCTCAATATATAACTGCAGGGAAAATGAAGTCAGCAACCTGAGCTTGGTAACTTGTCAGTCATAGGAAGCTATTACTACTCCTTAATTTAAAGGAGGTGAGCAAAAAATGTTATTGCTTTTATGTCCAGGATCTGCAATGATCTAAAGAGATATAATTGTACTACTTCCCTTCATTTCCATCCAAATAAATTAAAAGGACACTTCTGCATATCCCTTTGTAAATACAAGCTAGTTTTGTTTACAACCTTTCATTGAAAAACATTCATTTGGAAAAAAATCCATCTTCTGATTCGTCCAGGTGAAGGAATCTACTTTTATATATTGGCAACTGTTGTTTTGCTGAATATGAGGAAATGAAAATTCAGTAGACTCAAAAGGAAATGTACTTAATGAGCCTGGCATACAGCCTTACTGTAACGTCCGCTCTGCCCCTCTTTGCCCCCACCCCCATTCTACTTCAAACACCCAGAGATCTTTTTTTGACAGCTTCTTTGGGGCCTATCACTTCTATACTCTGTGTAGATGGTATCAGGCAGACATGGTAGCTGTTATTTCATAAGCTAAACTAATGCACACTTATTTTAGTATTTTGAAATGTACTCTGTTAGGGGGTATATACACAAAGATGAGGAAGACAAGGTTCTTCTCATACACAGATAGATTTGGAAGAATCAGCTTAGGATATAGAGAACTGTGTATTGCTTTTGGAGTTTGGTAGTCATTGGTGACCTTTGAAGAAGCATTTTAAAGGACTTACAGAGAAATTAGATTGTGGTGGAGGAGAAAATATGGGCAATTCATAAATAAGTAGACAATGGGTTTAAAAGTAAGAGGAGAGTTGAGGTTGAAAAAAAAAGAAGATAATTATTAAAGGAGAGGCTGAGAATAGCCAACAACTATACAGTACATGAATGTGTGTAAATTTCTCTTTTAGGCCACATGTACTAGGGAAATGGAATGTGAATGGGTGTTATGTCTTCCCCACCTTCTGCTAGTCGGTCAGCTCCACCTTTAATCTTCAGTATATCTGAGCGCAATTACTCACTTTGACATATTGGACTAGGACTAGACCAGACGCCAGCTGACCCGCAGATGGTTTTTCTCTCCCCAATCAAGTCGGTTCCTTCTGCACAGGTGAAGGTGCAAGCAGAAGTGAAGCTGAAGTTGGCCAAGGGATGACTGCATTCAATTGCTCCCAGATCAGGTGCTGTGAGAGCCTGGCACTGAGTCACTTCAGCAACACAAAACAGTATTTGTGACCAAAGGCGTTTTTCAAACTTTTTATTAAACTAATTATGTATAATGGTGGATTTCATTATGGCACTTCCATAGACGATGTATGTGTTGTAGTTTGATCATATTAGTCCTGGGTGGGGTTTTTTGTTTCATTTTGTTTTTATCTTTTATGCATATGAGTACCTGCATGTGTGTACGTGCCACGTAGGATTGTCTTAAACTGGAATTACAGGCGGTAGTCAGCCACTTAATGAGACCCAATCCAGGTCCTCTGCTGGAGGAGCAAGCGCTGTTAAGCACTGAGCCTTCTCTCCAGCCCCCAGTGACAAGTTTTTGACCAAAGTCACCAGACTTAATCACTGCAGCCATCCATATGAATCTAGAAATTTCTGATTTGTAGGAATTAGAGTAACAATGGTCAGGGGTGGAGCCAACAAAGCACTGAAAACCCATGCTAGTATAAGGTAGCCATTCCAGGCTGCTACCCCAGCATGGTGACGTGCCAACTGTGCTGGAAAAGTCATAGAATACAGCCTTGGACTCAAGAGCACGCATGGGACATTCTCAGTGACTGAGAAGATTTCAGTCTTCTCATGTGTTGTGACATCTACTCAAGCAATTGTGACAGACACCCCTATTCTCCAAGGTGGGCTTAACTATATACTATTCATCACCTACATCCATTCAGTTCTATGATTTCAATGACTGATTTTGGTTTTCATTAGAGAATTAAACTAGGGAACCAGAAATATAAATGTAGAAAGCATACCCAGGACTTCACAAATACAAGCCCTACCAGTTTTGTTTTTCCCATCAACTTGTGGTAAAGCTTGTCAGTCAAAAAAAAGAATGAAACCTCCTCTCTCAAATGAAAACAATAGAGAGCATGGCCTTTGCTTTTTGCAGCAGTCGTTACTCTCCTGCCATCTTACACAGGAGAAAAACAAATAAACGATGACTTTAAAAAGGTTCCAAATGAAACAACCAAGAAAGACTTCTGCGACTTCTGAAGGAAACTGGTTGGTGCTAAGTAGGGCACCACATAAACTGGGTGTTATTGAAAGGAAAGGAACCACAGTTGAACAGAGGTTCATCAAGGCTTTATACGATGACAGTGAGAAAAATAAAATACAGAGTGTAGCTCCAATGTATCGCCATAGGTCACATTATAAATGCCAAGCGGCTTTAAATACATTCTGCTTTTTGCATGTTTATTTGCTTTGGAGTTTTTGCCTTTCATTTTAGTGAGGAGAAAAAAAAACTCTTGAAAACCATCAAACTACAATTATATAGTAGAAGAAGAAACAGACTTCTAGGCAAGACTCTCCTATGTTTTCTCAGATTGTAGGCACAAACTTGCCACAACGAGGCCTCCACTAGCAAGTCACTCACCTTGACAGACTGGTTCTAGGGATGACCAGTTTCCATTGGGTCCACAGTGTGTTTCTGCAATCCCAAGGAGCTCTGTTCCTTCTGAACAGTTGAAAGCACACTGTGAGTGGAAGCTGAAGTTTCCCAATGGGTGAGTACAGACCATGGTTCCCATCTCCGGGGCCTTCAAAGACTCGCACTGGACCACTTTAATGGGGAGAGAAGCAGGATTTGAAAGAGTTATGAGAATCAGATAGATTTTTGAGTCTTGTCTGTGCTTCTTGATAATCACTGGTCTGCCTTGGGGCCCAAAGAAATATTCTAGGAAGAAACAGTCTCTGAACTATGTTTTAAAAATGATCAGGTGTTGTCCACATGCGGAATCAAAGAGAAGGTCATAAACAAAGCCAAGAGAACACAAAGTATATGTGGAAAGTCGAAAACTGCCAAAACGTTGAGGTTGTTATAGAGTCAGGGAAAATCTGGGGAATGTGTAGAGAGAGAGAAGCAGAGACAAAGTACTCATCATTTTCATCCCGCCAATGAGCAATTGGTATGTATCAAGCATCATTTCTCAACTTAATGAGCTCAGATTTTACCAAGACAAATGATAGGGACAAGTTAAAGAGCGAATGATCATATGTGTCTGGCATGTTCTGATTATTTTTAATCAGTCAGTCTGCCTGCACTATGAGCAACTTACTTGAAGGGAGCTAATTTTAAGTTCTGGAACTCATCTAGGGACTACAGTGGTGACAGGAGAAAGACAACAAGGGCAAGGGGAGTAGACAAGTAGGAGAGGAATTGGGTAAGTTCCAAGTTTTAAAATGTAATAACCAGGGCACTGGTTGGGAAGAAGACGGGGATTGGCAGAAGTGGGATGAGGAAAGGAGTGAGTGTAGTCACTGTGCGTTATATGCAAGTGTGAGAGTGCCGTGAGATTAAAATCAATAAAAATGATTTTATTGAATTGTATGTGTATAGGTATTTTGCCTGCACGTGTAAGTGTGCACTATTTGTGTGCCTAAAGCTGCAGGAAGCCAGAAGGAGTGCTTTGTATGCTCTGAAATGGAGTTATAGATGTCTGTGCACTGGGAATAGAACTCAGGTCTGCTGTTAAGCTAAACCATCTCTCCATCCCCATAAGATAAATGAAATTTTTGAAAATTGAATTTGCATTATGTTATCTTACACAAGTGTTGGAGGATGTGATAGTTTCATATTGGAGTCATTTCATATGTCATTCCCATGGAATGTGGTTACAACCACGAAAAAGAAAACTGTCTAGGGACACTTGACTTGTAGATACCCAAGACAACATCCTTTGCATATTTAGAGGTCATAGATAAAGACAGATTTGTCACTCCAAAGGTCGAATAGGTATATTGGTCCACAAAATTCAGGAAATTTGATGAAAGAAACAAACTAAGTCAGAATAACAATAGAAAAGATAGATGCTAAGACTAAAGGTTTGTGGCCTTGGATAAGTACCAATCAAAGAACCCAAGAGAAATTACTATTAAAAACGACAATAAGACAATCAGAAAGGGAAATGATGGGACGCAAGGAAGAAAACACAATGTTTAGAAAAGAATGAAATTAATGGACAGACCAGTGATACCGTGGAGGTGAAGCATTTGGGAAGAGTCTCAGCTCTGGGGATAAGTGCATTAGTCAGATCTAATCCAGTTGGTTAATAGTGAAATTAATTTTAGTTTCAGTCCTTTATTCCTTAAAAACACTACTTTTCTTCTTATAACTTTCCAGTGAGTGTGTTAGACACATCAAACACATTTTGAAACTTAGCCAACCTCAATAGAAAGATTTGATGCTCCTTTTAGGAGTGATTGGTTGAGTCCAAGCCTCTGACTTTGCATATGTGTACTCCCTCCATTGCAGGTCTACTACCTTGTCTCTGAGTGATGTCATAAGGCTCCCAATGATTCTTTATATCCCCTCTTTCTTGGCGATCCTAGCAGAGCTCCTCTCTGCTGTTTCTAGGATAATTGCCCTCAGTGTTGGAGGTAAGATACTGAGTGGCCACTCAATGCAAATAAAGGACAAGTGATTGCATTAGGAGATCGCCCCACAAACTTATTTCTGTTCATATCATTTTCCATCAAGCTTGATCATTGAATATATATAATTTCTATTAAATAACAATAAATCCCATAAGTATAAAATCTTTAATAAGTTCATATAATTTCTTATTAAATAACTGTGTCATAGTCTGTGTATCATATGTGAGTTCTTTACTATTCCTCATCATGTCTGGCTATAGAAAAGCAAGAGTGCCTTCTGGATGCCTCATTCTCCAAATGACAAATATAATTGTTTCTGTCAGATTTCAGATCTGAATCTGCTTCATTCAGCAGGCTCATTAGTTTATGATATCCTTGAAAGTAGGATATCTTTCAGGATATCGATTTTCTTATTGTCATCTGCTCACCTTTGGCAAATCTCAACACCTTGTTCCTTGTGGTACTTCAAAACACTTGTGAAGTAAACTGAAACTGCATGTTGACTTGTGAAATCTTTACAGGAAGATAACGTTGTGAAAGCCCAACCTTCTGTTCAGAACTTCCCATTTCTTAGAATGGCTAATATTATTTTGTTCCAGCAGAATTATTTTGCCTCAACTAGCTGCTATCCTAAGCTATTATGGTTCTTGTGTGTTTTGGCAGAAAGAAACAAACAAACAAACAAAACTGAAAAGGCTTACCATACTGACACTGGGGTCCGTAAAACCCCTCATCACAGTTGCAGGTGTGATTGTTGATTGTTTCCACACATTCTCCATGGCCACTGCAAGACCCAGACTGGCAAGAGGCTATGAGCAGATTAGGCAAAGTCATTTTAGTGTGATTACATCCAGTCCCTTCCTTATATAAGAAGCATTCATAGCATTTTTACATAATAATACATGCTAAAATATTTATTTATGGGCTAGCCCATAGACATTTATTTGTTTTTAGAATGAATTCATTCACAGTAATGCTCTACATGGTTGTGTAGGTGTTAGAGGACGACCTTAAAAAACCACCCAGCTCTCAATATCATCTTTCTGCCTATCACTGGGACACAGGCTGTGTATCCCTATTTCTCACATACCATACTTACAACTTGGATAGAACTTGACCTAAGTGTTGAACACAGGAGTCAGCTTTACATACAGAATGCCCAGAAGTGCTGTGTTTGAGGCTTATTTAGGATTATTTCAGAATGAACTGGCAGTTTCTGGGTAATGAGTCTGATTATTCTAACTTTGGTCTTCCCAAGTCAGTCAGACAGGAGTCTGGTCACTGCCCACCTGTGTAGCAGAGAGCTGCCTTTCGTTTGTGGCAGGCATCATCATTCCATTTCCCAGAGTCTCTTTCCCTCTTGATATAGATCTCTACACAGTCCTCCTTGGTCTTCTTATTGTTGGGCTCCCCAGTTCCCCAATTCTCTGCTTCTTTAGTGAGAGACTTGTTGGTTCCCACCCATGTCCATGTTTTTCCAATTTTCCGGATTCCTATCCAGTAGTAAGTAGGGTTTTTGGGCAATGTCTTCTCCAAATATTCAATTTCTCTCTTATTTTGTATGGCCACTAAATCTGTATAATTTTCCTTGCAGAACTTTCTAGCATTTTCCCAGTTCATCGATTTTTCAGAATAGTGGTAAGTCCAGCAGTTAGTCCCATGGTGTACCAGGAAGTCTGAAAAACACCAGAAAATATGATGATTCATAGAGTGTTCTAGGACCAGGTACTGATGCAGGCTGTCCATCACTCAGAGATGAAGAAACAAGAGTCCAAGAGTACAGACAGGCATCTCAGGGTCGCAGCATTAGCCATTAGCAGACTTGAATCACACTCAAGGACTATTTATACATAAATATATCTTTGTAGACTTATTTTAATCAAAGATCTTTCTCAAAATTCCTTCAAGTGTAATTTCTCCAACACACTTTAGAAATGGTGTCACTAATGACTCTAAAATTCACACTATACTTTTTAATCCTGGGATAAATTCCTAAAGGCCAATATTTACTACTGCTAACACAGTACACATACAAAATACTCTTGTAGGTAAAGTGAAACAGGATCAGAAAGAACAAGGACATAATTTCAAATACTTTTTTTGTAACATAGGAAGATAGTACTTTATTGCAGATAAAGCAGCAATACATTGTCCACTTGTTGTGCATCTAAACTCATTGTAAGTAAAGCAACATGAATAAAAAATAATGCAGGGACAAAAAATTGATTGCACCATGTTCTACATTCAAAGATACTCAAAAATAATGGTGTCCAATAAACATATGGGGGCTTCAAGCATGAGGGGTTTGAAGAAACCAGATACAAAACACAATGACCATGAGGATAATGTCCTTCTAAGTATGATATGACCTCTGTGAAATATGTGGTATGACAAGATAAAAGATTTCACAGCTATCAGCTCATTGAGTTTTTACTTCATAGGGTGAGTACTATAGAGAAATACCAAAATTGCCTTCTAAATGGTTAGGCATAAGTCATAGTCCTGAGCTGCTTTCTTGAGTCATAGTCCTGAGTCAACGTGGGTCAGAGAAATTTCTTTTTGAAGTAGATAGGAGTCAATAGAGGGATGCATAACTGTTAAATTCTAAGAATAAGAGGCTCAGTTCTCAGCCCTAAACTGGACAACTGTATTAATCCCACAACCATCAGGGCTCGTTGCAGAAGAGACACAGAATATACAAGCCAGGGAATGGGGATGGGTGTTATGACATGACATGGTTGACGCAATCTTGAACTTGATGCCGCTGTGATTGTCTGCACGAGACCTGCACAAGATCAAGCATGGACGAGGTAGAGAACCTCCAGCCCCACCCCCCTATTGAGGAGTTATTGGCAGTTAATAGTTTCTGAGGAAGTTGCCACTGCTGTTTCCCACGCTCCAGTGAATGGATCACATCCATGAACATATGGGTAGCACTGACTGGACTTAACAGGTTATCAAAAAAGGGGGGGAGAAAGAAAGCCAGGAAATTGGGAGGGGCATGTTGGGAAGGACATGGAGGGAGTTGAATGGGGAAAAGGCATATAGACATGATCATGTTTATTGTGCATGTATAAAACTCTCAAAAGTAAAGAAAATGAACAAAACAAAGACTGTGTTCATACTGTGTTCACTTTTTCTGAGCTGAAACTCCAAGTTAGGGAAGAAGGAAACATGAGTTTCTTAGGCCATGGCTTAAAAAGTTCAAATGTTATCAATAAAGAATCCCTAGGGCTTAAACATAAAACATGTAACATCAGTAGAAAGACTACAGCCCCCCCCAAACAAAAACAAAAACCCAGCCCTCAAATAATATGACCATAGAAGTTCACTGGGTACCCAGCAAAGTATTAATAAGAAGTTGAATGTAAAATAAGTGTCCCGGTACTAATCATCTTAGAGGTTTCTCAGTTGGCTGCATTCTCCCTTAGTGGAAGGGCATCATGCTGTTCTCGGGATTTGGGCACTTCACTAGAGAATGTAGCACAGAAAGCTGGTGTTGGGGAGCTCAGAGAAATGCTGAAAGTCAGAGGAAAAGCACAGTCCTTAAAAGAATTACTAGCCACCTACCTGATTATTTTCTCTGCAACTATATACACTCAATGAACATTAAGCAAAGAATAATCCCAAGTATAAAGAGTTAGCAGAATACAAATGACATACCACAACAGAGCACTGTGAAGATCCACAGCTTGAGGGTGCTCCATGAGCCCTTTGGGGTACTCTGGCATCTCCATGGAAACACCTGTAAATGAAAGGGCCCATGATACTTAAACTCTGAACTACAAATTTATATCCCCTCAAGGCCGTGCCCTACAATATTCTTAAACTACAAAATAAAGCCCATCAGCCTTATCCAAGGTAAAATATTTAGGGAACATGGCTGAAAACAATGGCAACAAATGTACTCCAAACCGTTGTATTGCTTTATTTCATTTGTTTCCATGCTTCAGTCCTAGGTTGTTGATCATTATCAATGGGGTGTTGTTCTGTATTTTAGTAACCTTTCTGTGTACTTTCAGGCTTAGCTTTAACTCAAACTAAACACTATTTTGCGTGCATGTTTTTAGTATTGGTTGGTGTTTGATGGACGAGTGATGTTCAGATTCGCTGTCTTCTCACACAAGGTCATGATGGATTCAAGAATGAGTGATAAAGCCAGACACCAGAAAAGGAAAGCAATTCATTTTTTTCCAACTAAGAAGCACTACATCCTGAATAGCTCAAACAAGGAAGCCATAGATTTTTCTGCATATCTTTAAACTGTAGTTTTGCTTGCATGTCATGTCTCAGGTAGCCCCTTTGTTTCATTGCAAAGTCCAAATCTCGATAGTACCTCTCCCTGCATCTCATCAGAGCAAACACCATGGGAAGAAACCAACAAGAAACAGTCTAGAGCCACTGTTTTGAGATAACATGCTTTTTTGTTTGTTTGTTTGCTTGTTTCTATCTTTCTTTAAAAAGAAAAAAAAAAGAAAGAAATGATAGCTTCTTGCCCCTTGCCACCTGCCTCTTCAACCCCCAGGAAACATTTGAATATCTAGAGATCTTATAGGTTGGAAGGCTCACCATGGCTTGCTGGGTCTCTCTGCAGTTCCTCTGCAGCCCTCAGCCTTCAGCACCTGGGGCTCTGGGTTCTTGCACAAGGAGGGTGTGCTGTGCTCAGGAAGAATGTGCAAAGTGTCGCCAACAGGGCTTGCTTTCTTTCATTTCTCTAACCCAGTCTCACATCCTCCTCCCCCTTTTCTTCCCCTTTCTCGTCTCTCTCTCTCTCCCCTCCCCTTTCCTAAACTGGGCTCAGTTGCTGCCCTGAGAACACAGTAGCTGACTAGAAGCTGTGGCAAAGGGATTCTTCCCCGCCCCCTCCCATCCCCCCAATCTTCCCTGTTCGCCTGTGCATCCTTCCCTCCTTCTCCTCCTGCTTCCCTTTTTGTTTCTTGTTGTTTGGTTTTAGAAACACCAGACTGTGAGGTAGGAGGCCCTGGTAGTGCCAAAGACAAAAACCTAGTTCAGATCCAGTTACAATGCTGTTGAACTTTGGTAGCTCTGCCTGGAAGACTTGGCCCACCTCAGTTCCTCCCCTCCCTCTTTCCTTGCTCGCCCCCTAGTGGAAGTCCTTGTTAATGGCTCTTCTGAACGTTAAATCCTAAACACAATTCCCAGGCTTTTTGCCCCAGTTTGGGGCATAGACATACCTTGAGTATAAAAGTCAAAGAGGTAAAACAGCATATGATATCTGAATTCAGCCAATTAAAGGCAATCTGAAACAAGTCACTGACATAATAGTGTTTGCATTGTAAGAAAGTTAATAATAATGACAAATATCAGGACATGTGTATACAACACACACACACACACACACAGAGAGAGAGAGAGAGAGAGAGAGAGAGAGAGAGAGAGAGAGCGAGAGAAGAGAGAGAGAGAGAGAATTCACATACTGTAAAATTCACATCTTTAAGGTGATTCAGTGTGTTTTCATATACTTACAACCCTCAATACAGTAGAATTTAACAGGTAATGTTAATTACCTTTTTATATCTAAAATACTATGAGAGAGGAACTAGTACTAGTCCTATTTTTTTAATTTATTCATTCTTTGGGGCTGGAGAGATGGCTTAGAGGTTAAGAGCACTGGCTGCTCTTCCAGAGGTCCTGAGTTCAATTCCCAGCAATCACATGGTGGCTCACAACCATCTGTACATTCTTCTGGTGTGCAAGCATACATGCAAGCAGAACACTGTATACATAATAAATAAATAAATCTTTTTAAAAAGTAAAATTTATTTGTTCTTAGGTAATTTCATAGCTCCTTGATGCTTAATCCACCCACAATCCTGCTGGCTATCATCTTGTGGAATCTCACCAACACATTTCCCACCTTCATGTGCTTTCTTGCTATTTATAACCTACTTAATCTAAGTAGTGCTGCCTATTACAATGTTGACTGACCTTTCTGACTTGAACATGTGCAGGTAACTATGCCTACAGTGAGCTCAGGGTGTAATAGCCTATCAGATTAGGAAGTTTCAGCAATGACTGGGCTTTCGGGGGAGTATGCATGCAAGGGAAGGACCAGGAGACCCAGTGATGTAATTCATCTCAGGACCTAAAGCTTGAGAATCAGGATCCTAGACCAGGGTGAAATGAATGGCATAGTTCAGGGTGATTTTGTTCTTCCTCCAACTTGAAGTTCAATTTGAATACTTAATGAGTTGGATGAAGTCTGCCCATATCAGGCCTATGTATTAACCCCACTGTAGTAGGAAGAATGTATGTAATGGAAGGGGGCGGGGACTCATTGTGAACCTAGTCTGGGGGATAATTGAATCTTCAGTGTAAATTCATATAAACGGAGACTATCAGGCAGCAAAGACTTGGTCTTGGTGATTCTTTTAGATTATTAACATGTTCAGATATCTTTTGGTATTGGCACAAGACCCTATAAGTAAAAATCATGACCCATACTAGAATAGTGATAACCAAAGAGAGACAATAGGAAGTATTAATTGGAAAGTGGAGAAGCTGGAGCCCTTCTTGTTCCAGGTGAGACTGTAAAATGGAGCCAACTGTTCAGGAAAGAATGAGATGGTTCCTCTAAAAACAGAAGAGTTCCTATCTGACCTGCCTCCAGGGGAAGGGGACGGAGAAAAAGTTGTACCTCAACAGTTGCACTCAGGTGATCCCAACAGCATTATTCACAGTGCTCACAATGTGGAAAGACTCAGAGACAATCGCCTGAGTGGCAGATTGACAAAATCTGGTCAATCCATACCAAGAATATAATCTCTCTGTAAATGGAATGAAGTGTTGATGCAAGCTACACCATGGAGGACCCTAGAAAACAGTATGCCAAGTAAAAAGAGATAGACACAAGGTCACAAGGTACTCCATGTGTATAGAATGTGCCTGATAGGCAAATCCATAGACAGAACATAGATTAGTACTACCATGGGAGGGAGAGAAAAGACTGGGAAGAAACTGCTAATTGACTGGGTTTGGTTCTACAGCAATAGAAATGTTGCAGAGTTAGGTACATGGTTGCCTGGTATTTCATTTTAAAAGAGTGGCTTTTGTGTCATCAAGATGGGTCAGTGGGTAAAAGCCCTTGCCTGGTGGAAAGAGAGAGCTGAGTCCTCAGATGTCCTCTGATCACACATTCACAGTGACAATGCATACACACACACACACACACACACACACACACACACACACACACACAATCAATCAATCAATCAATCAATTAAATTAACCAAAATGTAAATTTTATTGGTATACAGATTTTTATCTAGATGAATTAAAAATGGTTTATTTAAATAACATTTTTTCACTTATTGTACATTCCAACCACAGTTTCCCCTCCCTCCTTCCCTCCTTCCCTCCTCTCCTCCTGTTCCCTTCCCATTCACCACCCCCTCCCTATCCACTCCTCCTCTACTCTATTTAGAAAGGGGCAGGGCTCCCATGGGCTTGAACAACGCACAGCACATCAAGTTGAGACAGGACCAAGTTCCTCCCCTTGCATCAAGGCTGGGTCAGGTAGGTAATCCAGCATGGGGAACAGGTTCCCAAAATCCAGCTAAGTACCAGGAACAGGTCCTGATCTCACTGCTAGGAGCCTTACAAACAGACAAAGCCACACAACTGTCACACACATGCAGAGGGCCTAGGTTAGTCCCATGCAGGCTCCCTAACTGATAAGAAGGCTTATATACACAAGGATAAGTAGAAACACATTTATTGTCAAACACTATACTGACATGTGAATACAATAAGTTTGACATATTTAAATAAATACATACTTTTAAATCATAAAATATTTTAAATCATAATTTAAAATACTCTATAAAATTCAGATACAGACAACATTCATATTTCACACAGTTATTTCTGATACAAAATATATAAGCATTTACATTGTGTAGCTTCACAACAGTTACTCTCTGTTTCTCTGGCTCTTGCTGTCTCTCTTCTTCCTCTCTCACGCCCTTTGGCCCCAATGCTTGTCATACTACTTGTTCAAAGTTGGCTTCTCCATTGTCACTGCTCAGCAAGCACTTTTCAAAACCTTTCTTCTTTGAATATGTTAATTTGGAAGTTGGGACACTTTTTTTGTTTGTTTTTGTTTTTTTGATACAGGGGTTTTCTGTGTTGCTTTGGGGCCTCTCCTGTCCTGGAACTCGCTCTGTAGACCAGGTTGGCCTTGAACTCACAGAGATCCACCTGCCTCTGCCTCTGCTGGGATTAAAGGCGTGCACCACCAACGCCTGGCGGAAGTAGTGACACTTTTGATGGGAACACCTTTGGCACTTACTGATCAAGGATTTGTCATTGCCAATGACTGGTGAAATTCCTCAGGAATTTTAATCTCTGTAAAACAACTTAATCATTGTGTACACAAGCTTTCCCCTCCTCCAGAACATATGGACACAGGAAATAAAACAACTACAGACTAACTGTTAGACACTTTTACTCTTTAAAAATCTACTGCTTGGATCTATTACATGGTGAACCCTCTTCGTGGATTTAGAATCATACATAATATACAAGAATCAGATATCTACTAGTCACACATTAAGACTCACCTTAATAAAAATGCAAAGCGCATTCCTATTTAGATAAGCTTTCAAACAAATACTTTAGAATGCACCTTCACTTTTAGCATTTATGCTTTTATTAATTCAGAACATTTGACCTCAACATTTTTTTTTCAGAAAGAAAAAAAAAAAAACACACACACACACTTTTGGGAAAAATCCGCCAAACATGTAAACTCTCTCTACAACTTCTATTCTTCTGACAGTACCATGTCTGAAAACCAGCTCCAGTTAAATACTCAGGGGTTCACACTGGCTAGTAATTCCTCATTTTGAAAATGAGTTTACTGCAGGCAGACAGAACATTAGGATCTGCCAATAAAAAGAAATGATTTAAGGTAACTTTTGCCTTGTCATAAGTCACAGGATTTCTGATTTCTTTGAGTCCTTTTGACCCTTGCACTGAAATAAGAATGATGGACAATATGGTGGATTCAGTACAAGGACATAGAACACATGTCTGGGAATACTCCAGAGACCACTGAATCCCATGGGGATAAAGTCAGTAAGCCTGCCTAGCAGTCCTAACATGTACCACTTAGCAGGATTTGCACCTTGTACCCCTAACAACACTCCTATGCCATAGTCTGAGGATATGACAATTTTGCCTTTTTTTTTCCAAGATGGAAATAGAAACTTGTTTACTCAAAACTGCTGGTAATTATTATTTATCTCTATAACAGCATTAACAATTGAAACACTGTGTGGGAAATGAGAAAGGAACAAAGCCACAAAATGGCGTTTCTCTTCCCAAATTCCAGAGTGACTAGGGTAGAATTTTGCTGTTTGGGGGGTGGGGGGGCTTGGTCCATGCACTCTCTTTTGAAGAGAGCACCCCCAACCTTCTGTGGCCAGTATGTTCTTGGTTCTGTGTCTAGGAAAGAAGAAACTGAGTCTCTCTGATGGACGGCTGGTCTTGTCACTGAATTTTGATCCATGGAGTCAGGATCCCGGTTATTAAGAAGGCAAGAGAGACCAAGATCCCACAGACAGCTCATTTTCGGTTATCTTTGCCACATCATTCTGTTTCCCAGGGTGCATCTGTATTCCTGCAAATACAAGCAAGTGTGAAAGCCTTCCAAATATCCTCATTGTTGGAAGCAACAACAAAACACATCTTTTAAGCAGGCTTTCTCTTGGGAGTGATCCAGGTATGAACTCCCAGTGTCATTCAGTTACAGCAATGAAACTCGTCTATGACACTATAATGCTAGATATCAGTCATTAAAACCCGTTAAGCCATATGGAGTGTACATTCCAAAGAACGAACCCTGTATCGTGCACCTCGGGCTTTAATTAACAGTAATTCAACTATACTGGTCATCATTAAGAACTATGCTAATAAAGATGTTAATAATAAGGAAAACAAGGCAGGGGGCTGAACAGTCAAATTGAAACACCCACCTTCTGTTCAATTTTTCTCTAAGCCCCAAACCACACCAAAAATTTTTCATTAAGAAAAATTGATTTAGAAGCTCTTGACCTTCCAGATATGCTCTCAGAAGCAATGCGGATATTGAGGATCACGGATTCCAGAATCACACAAGTGCTGGGGTTTGAAACCCGGCTACACTGCACAGTAGCTTTGGAACTCAGACAAGTTAACCGAAATTCTGTGCCTCACTCTCTTCATCTCAGAGGAATAGGGGAGTAGCCCCAGTCTGGCAGAGGCCCCAGCTTAGGTCCATGCTTAGCGATCTGATTGCTGACTGGGGCTAGCTTTCACCACCACCATTATCACCCACAAGTAAGACGACCGTCCTTCCTCAGAGAAACGAGACTTTCTATGAACTGTCATGAAGATGGGGATTTCCTCTCGACAGTGGCAGGTTTGAGGGTGTCAGGGAGAAACACTACTGGGAAAGGAGGTTTTCTTTCCTTCACAAGACCTGCCCAAGTCATACCTGATTGTTTTGAGCTTAAATGATGTGAGCAGGTGCTTGATAGTTGCCAAACGATTGAAGACTTTGGCAGCTGCTGCAGAAACATGAGAAAACTACATCAAGCACTGCTTTCCCACGTGCAGAGAAAAAAAAAAGTATGGAGTATTAAATGGCATGCTTTGTACAAGAATTCACCTTACCTTGCAGGAACAAATTTCTTTGCTGCAAGAGAAAGAAAATGATTAGTTTGGACTAATGAATTTTAAGAAAATTAAATTGATTTACTTGACTCATCTAGATTTGTATTCTCAGTACTACAGGACCCTGCAATAAACATTTGATGGCAACTAAAGTAAAATGCAGAGGATAAAACAGCCAAAGAACACAGCAGCTTCCTGACATCTGTCTGTTTCTTCTTCATGGATACAAAATCCATACTTTCACAGGAAATTTTCTAATGCCTAAATTTCAAATTTTAATTAAAAAATGTTTAAATAGTCAGAGACCAAAGGGACCATGGGTGTATTTCCTATTCCTTATGATATTTACATTCATAAATTTAGACTATTTCAAGCAATTCTCTGCTACTTGAAATCATTTCACCTATTCTCCCAAGAGAATCATGGTATAACTCCATAATTCTCATTGAGCAACTCAAAGGACAATGTTGAATTTGAAGTGAGTGGCGCCCCCTAGCTTTAAGCAGTATTAATACAGCCAACATAAGTTTCCTAAAACATTCAACATTGAGTTGAATAAAAAATCCGTATCATGAAACGTTTGCTTTATTACACTGGCATTTACTGGGGCTCTTTAATAAGACGTTCTACTTTCTATATTCTAGTGCAAAATTTCAAGAGACCATAGCTCATAAGTGAGAAATACACACACACACACACACACACACACACACACACACACACACACACACACTTTTCAAAATCATTTTTTTGAGTGGATGCCCGAATTTACCTTTCTTCCGAAAGTATCTCAGCAACAAGTAGAGAAATGAGGACGATGCTAGGAGTGAGGTTACTGCCATAGAAAGTGCAACTACCAGGGGCCGGTTGGGGCCTGTGGGGGCTGAGGAACAATTCAGAGGCAACAGCGTGAGCGACAATTGGCTTTTGAGTCTTTCTTCCCTGTCCGTTTGGCCTTTTCTCTACACATTCATTACTATCAGCAGAAGATCCACCAAGCAGTCAAGTGCATGAAGCAGAGACTTGGCAACTTGGCACTGAGGATTTAAACAATTCCTCTCAAACCAACATTGTGTCCTGGTGTTCCCAGGCAGAACACAGCCTTGTCAAGCTCTTTGACATTATCATATCACAGCTCGGTTAACACACTCTCTCTGTGTGTCTCTCTCTGTGTGTCTCTCTCTCTCTGTCTCTCTCTGTGTGTCTCTGTCTCTGTCTCTGTCTCTCTCTCTCTCTCCTTACTTCCTCCTTTAGTCTCTAGATCTCCCCCTCCCAATGATCAGAATCTCACTATGAGGGAGCAGGGAGAGGTCTAAAGGCCGTCAAGGGAAGGACAATGGAAATAAATCATAACAGGGGAGAGTACTGGAGAGGGATGTGACAGATAAGAACAAATATTCTGCTTGTCTCACTGGCTCGCATCATTTTCTGTTTTCTTTCTATCCATCCCTATAACCTCCCAATCTGATTTTGACATAAGGGACAGTTAGTTTCCTTCGCAATACAACACCCCTTCTGCAACCTACTCTCCCAGGCAACCACTGCCAATCAATGCATCACCTTCACACGTAGGCAGCATCCCAGACCAGTGTCCTGTGGCACCACACGTCAGAATTGCAGATCCATTCAGTGTCCATCCATCGGGACATGTAAATTCACATATGGTGCCAAAAACTGTTGCCCCGCTGCAGCTCATGTTCATCTTTCCTGGAACTTCAAGGGTTGAACACTGTACCACTGCAAATGACATATCCACGGTAGAAATCAGGAAAACCTTACCATAAAACAGCTAAGTTGATGTGCACCCTGAGAGTCTGAACTCAACAGTACCTTGGCAGGAGGGCACCTCCTGGGTCCACAGTCCCTGGGATGTGCATTCAAGTTGAGCCGATCCATGTAAATTAAAGCCCCTGTTGCATTGAAAGGCACATGAGGACTTGTAGGTGAATTTTCCAGTAGTAGCATGAGCACACTCCACGGTACCATTCTGGGGCTGAGGGACAGCATCACATTTCACAGCTGGAAGAGAGGGGCCATTCAGAGGTGTGAGCATTGGGCTATAATAGGTGTCTTAGGGTAACCAAGCCACAAAGATATTCAGTAGCTTCTCTCTCACAGTGAAATTCACAGTATGTCACATTCTTGCCCTTGCTATAAAGTGAATTAAATTTTATTGCTTTTATGTCTTTATCAAAAACAATCCTTGTAGGTGACAGACGTCAAGCTGGGAGCATTGTCATTGCTGCTAACTATGAAGTTTCAAAGTGTATGATAAAAGCGTGAGGTTCAAGCAGTGTTACATTTAAAAAATTAAATAGGATTTCTCTTACATTACTAATTCTTATTACTCTATTATGCCAATGCCAATAAATTAATACTATTAATTTGCCCTACTTTAGAAACAAACAAGAGAAAAACCATTTCCTTATGTTACTTGCATACAGTGCTGCTTCCTGGCCATGCATTCATTAAAAAAATAATCTCAAAGGGACTGGTGTTGCCCTCATAATTGGTATCTAAAGTTACAGGGGACACCTGATGTCACTGTCAGTGCACAAGACAAAAGATGACAGCTGTTTTAGAAATGAAAGCATTAGATACAGTTTCTTCCTCACCTTTGCACACTGGTATGTGTGGTGTCCACTGCCCTTCTGCACTGCATTCGACTTGGGCTGGCCCCTCCAACATGAAACCTTGCTTACAGGTGAGGTTGCAGCATGACTTAAAGGCAAATTCTCCAGATGTTGAGTTGCTGCATCTCACAGAGCCATGCCGAGGCCAAGGGATGGCATCACAGGTCACAACTGTAACACAAACACCCATTCAAATTGGTAAACCTGGGCTGCTGATTCCAAGCCTTAGTTGTGGAAGAGAATTCAATGAATCTCATCATGTATGAGCTCTACCTTTGCATGATGGCTTCTCATTGTCCCAAAAGCCAGATGAGGTACACTGTAGATTCTGAGCTCCAACTCGCCTGTACCCTTCGTCACAGTCAAATGTACAGGTCGTGTTCCATGGGAAGCTACCAGAATTTGAGGAACATTTCCTGACTCCATTGTCAGGATGTGTCAAAGCTTCACATTCAACCACTAAAGAGATGAAAGAGAAGAGTTTTACACACACACACACACAAAACAAAACAAAACAAAACAAAACAAAAAAACAGCCTCTAGATCAAGATTCATGACAGTGTAAAAGCGATATTAACATACAAAGGACCTGAGCAATGAATCTTTTTGATGGCTTCAGAGAACTATACAAAGAGATATTGAAGCCCCCTGATGAACATAGTGCTAAAGTTGGTCCCATTTTATGGGAGTGATGAACAGAAAAGTCCATGAGGAAGTCATGAGGCTGTTTACATGTGTCTCCACTAACTCTATGGCATCTTCCTTGACATGTCACCAGAACCTCAGAAAAACCCACAAAATAGCCAGGCCGTGGTGGCACACGCATTTAATCTCAGCACTCGGGAGGCAGAGGCAGGTGGATCTCTGTGAGTTTGAGACCAGCCTGGTCTCAAGAGCTAGTTCCAGCACAGCCTCCAAAGCCACAGAAAAACCCTGCCTCAAACCCCCTCCCCAAAGAAAAAAAGAAATACCCGCTATAAAAAGAATGAAAAAAATCTTATATTAAACCAAACAGGTACTGGCAACAACAAAAGAACTTAATTGGAAAAGTTATAAGATTGGTAAAACCTAAGGCAATGAGGAGGAGTGAGAAGGTTTGGTGTATTTTGAGTTACTATGGCAGGCTGGAGTAGGCACACTCCATTCTCCATAGGACATACACTGCATGGTGGTCTCTGTGCTGCTGGGCAGGTAGACCCTTTCACAGCTGAAAGAGCAGGAGGAATTAGAGCTGAAGAGGCCAACAGGACGGATGCAGTTCAGGCTTCCATGGTCAGGGTGTTTCTGTGCGTCTCAGGTCACAATTGAAAAAATAACCAAGCCATACTTCTGCTAATCTCTCATCTTGCATAAGAGAGAGGAACACTGAACACCATAATTATTGCTCATTGAATATTTCCTGTGGTCCAGGCTCTATGGAACCATTAGACTATAGAGTTATTTCTATTATTGTCTTCATACAGCTAGTTGTTGCATGAAGTTGTTTGGTTTAATACAACTGAAATAATCAGTCAGTCTGTAAGACTACTTTGTCAAAGTTACATAAGTCATAAGTAGTAAGTCTGGAGTTTGACCCAAGAGGCTCTGACTTAATAGTCTCAACTGCTATGGTGCTTTTACTCTGTGTGTTCAGACAGAGGAAACATGTGGCCCCAACTGACAAGCCATCTGGACCACGAGAGGGTGTTTACCATCTTTGGAGAAGGAACAAGTGAGGGCAAGACTTACCTTGCTCACAGTTGGGTCCAAGGAAGCCAGGGTGGCACTTGCAAGTGTAACTGTTGATGGTCTCTACACATTCACCATGACCACTGCAGGATGCAGGGGTACAGGAAGCTACAGAAAACACAACCCAGATGAGAACAATCAATTATTATAGTGCGTGGCACGAGGTTTTCTATTTGTTTTGTTTGTCTTTAGTCTATAATCTGTGTAATCCAAATAACATTTATGGCATTAATGCTCAAGAGTTTTACTGACACAGCTGATCCAAGTTCCAGGACATCAGTAGAATAGCTCTTCTTGGCACCAAACAAGAAAAATTAATTCATAACATCTCTGAAGATAGTTTCATGCCACAAACAACTAAAACATACATTGTATCTGAGTAGATATACTCTATATTTATAGAACTATATATGTATACACACACCCTTACATTCCTGCTTTTACTCACAAAAATCAGTAAATGTTGCAATATTTCGCAATCATCTCTTTAAAAACAGAAAATGTGCACAGCAGAGAGCAATTATTTTGCATAATCTAAGCATGCCAGGCTGCCTCCACACAGAACCAACCTTCCACCATCCAGAACCTCATACCTGTGTAGCACAGGGCCAGTTTCTTTTTGTCACATCTCTCGTCATTCCACATGCCTGGGTCTTTGCGCCTTTTGATGTAGATTTCTACACAGTCCTCATTTCTTTGCTTGTTGTTCGGTTCACCTGGTGCCCAATTCTTAGCCTCCTCAGTCAGAGGCTTTTGGGTTCCCACCCAGACCCATACGTTGTCGACTTTTCTGATTCCGATCCAGTAATAACTTGGTGAGTATTTCAGATTGGAGTTTAGGTAACTGATCTCTTCTCTGTTCTGAATTGCCACCAGATGTGTGTACCTCTGTTGACAATATGCACTGGCTTCATCATATGTCATGAGTTCGATGGAGGTGTTGTAATACCAAGCATTGCTCTCTCCAGTGAGAAGCACTGGGTTGGGTCAAGAAAGGAACAGCAAAGTTTAGTCCTACTTTATGTTGTCTTATTTTTGGCTTATAGGGGTCTTTGTTATGGCTCAAACTATTGCTTTTAAAAGTAAAAAGAACATCTGGAGGGTCTAACATTTCTATGGATCACTGTGTGACTGGCCACCCACTGGAGCTTTCTAAGAATCACAATGTGATACACCCACTTCACAGTACACTGGAAGTCAGAAAAAGAAAGCTTTGTTGGATGCTATGTTACACTTGTTTGAGCCCCATTTCAGGAACCAAATGAATGAGTCTTCAGATGAATAGGTCACTTAGGATCCATCCTTCCTGTGTAAGGAAACTAACTATTCCTACCAGAGGGCAGAACCCTACAGGGACAAGTCAACAGTCCTGCTAACCCCCCTACAAAGTTGAGAACAGCCCCATACAACAAAATACCCTATTTTCTTAAGACTCAGTAGGGTGAAGATAAGAGATCCAGGTCTCCGATGATGCCAGCTTACCAAAAGTGAGAGTGAAGAGAAACTGTGAGGCATTCATGACTCCGGCAGTTCCTCTCACCCAGAGATTGGACTGGAGATCCTCTTCTGAGGAGAGAAAGTGCAGAATTAGTCACAGAAGGAAATTCTAAGTGTGGGTTGCTCACACCCTTCTATCATAGCATTTAAGGCAACACCATGGGGTTTTAGGTAAGGATTCCTGTACCTCATTACTTATTTCAAAGACATTTACTGTGGTAAATAGAAACAACTTTAAGATTTTCATTATTTTAAACAAAGAGAAAAGGCAGGCTTTAATGACAATGCTCTAACAGCTTAGACAGATCTTTTTTATCAGAAGGCCTTTTGCATTTGTGCACACACATATAAATCTATGTTTTGGACCCAAGGCTCCCCTGGTTTGGAATCTGTACTTACTGTTTTGTGGAATGGTTGCTGGGGTGTTGGGTTCCTCAGGTGTATTGCCACTGCTTCCGTCTCGCCGTTCTTCTAGCAGTTTTGATGTGTAGTCAATCAAGGACCACTGAATATTGCTTCTTCTGGAGCCTCTTTATAGGGAGCTGGCTTCCTGTGAGTCATGGACATTATTATCAAAATCTGGCAAAGAGGAAATCCTCAACCACATCCAAAAAGTTTTCTGGGAATGTCCACCACTTTAAAAAACTCTTGTAGTGATGTCAGAAACTTTATCCCTTGGAGTTAATCCTTTTTCTAGGCTCTTATAGCTTGTTTGCAACTTTATTAAATATTATGCAAATGTGTGATCTTAATTCCTGTGTCATAAAGTCTAATTACTATTATCACACACATGTAGAAATTCATTTCATAAACATTAGCAAGCTCTAAATATATTATTAGTTATGATCTATCACTCTCAGTTTTCTCATGCACAGATATCATCAATGCATTAGCACCCACTTTCTTGTCGTTCACCTGCTAGCTTAGCCCGTCCTGACAGGCACCCTGGTGCAGTGGAGAGATTCATGAAGTGTATGCTATTCTCACATATGATTAAGTCACAAAAAAGCTTCCCTCATCTATTTAATAATGCCTTGTTTCTACAAAATAGGATTAAGTGGGACATAAAAATTTACCCCTTCTACCTTCCTGCCATCTTGCATTTTCTAGATATTGTCACTGTCTCAATCCTTCATTTCAGTTTATTTAGCTAAATATGGTTGTTATTGTTCAGCACATGTAGAAAGATAACCCCACATGCTACTTATTTAAAACTTAGGTAAGATTAAAGCTGTAAGTTGTGTTCATACATAATCTGTCTGTCTATCTATCTACATATAAATTACAAATATTTTTTAAAAGCATAATAAGTGTGACACATACCCAACACCCTGGCATTTGGGAGGCTGGAGGCCACCCTGTGTCCCAGCCTTGACTACAAGTGTAAGACACCATCTCAAAATGGAAAAAACATCGCCTGCATTGACTTTAATCTTAAAACACAATTTACCATACATGTTGATTAAGTACCTAACAATTTTTTTGCAAATTAGGCATAAACAGCCCTCAATCATACACTTGCATTTATGGATTTTTTCATAAGTAAGTTTCTAGTTTCAACATTGGTGATGCAGTGTCTGTAGGGATACAATCCTTACTTAATGAGCTAGACCCCAATTATATTCTCTAACATTCTGGGTGCTTCTATAGCTGGCTCTCTTCTGAACATGTTGCTGTGGTTGTATTGTATTGTATTTTAATTCCATCATTTGTGAAATGTGTACCCTATCCTTGTTTTATAGAAGAGAAAATTAAGGAACCAGGTTCTATCTATCTATCTATCTATCTATCTATCTATCTATCTATCTATCTATCTACCTATCTATCTATCTATCATATGTATACATATCATCTATCATCTGTCTATCCATCTATCCTCTGTCTACCTATCATCTATCTATCTGTCTGGCTGTCTATCTTTCAAACCAGGTTTCATCTCACCTAACTGCATAGAGATACAACGTTGAAACCCAGGCAACCAATCTCTTGGGCCCTCTCCTTTGATTGCCCAGACCACAGTGGCACTTTTGGTTGTTTGCCCATGCTGAGGTCTCTGCTTTTCCTCACTCCCCAGTCTTTGCCTTCTTCCTGAAGCCCCTTGATTGCTGAAGCTTTCTGCCAAGGGGTGTGAGGCTGGGATCAGGTAGAAGACCCAGAACAGTAAATAATAGGGAAAGGAAGCCATGAGGACAGGCCCTGGATCCTCAGCAAATAAAAAGTAAGTAGGAAAAAAAAAGAGAACAGATAAGGCAACTGTGCCCTGCCTGGAAGGAGGTGCTGACTCTAAGAGATCCTGATCTGAGGCAAGCTTTCTCTGAGGCCAAAGGGCAAAATGTGTAGTCTTAATTTATACCAAAAGGACCTTAGGTAAAGAACTCAGTATAAGAAAGAAAGATAAGAGCAGTGGTAGAAGAGATTTGTAAATAAAGTAGGTTTCATATAAAGGAGATTTCATGTACATTGTTTCTAAAGAAACACACCAACATAATGGCAGGTGTGTTATTCCAAATCCACTCACCCTACCATCCGGCATTCTCCCAGGATATTTCCTATGTCTTGCCCCTGACTAGACCTGAAAATCCTGTGGGTGGGTCCTGGGAGCTGATGGAGTTGCTTTTCTTGCTCAGGTTGCTGGAGAAGCCATAAAAGGGATGTCCTGTGTGTGTGTGTGTGTGTGTGTGTGTGTGTGTGTGTGTGTGTGTGTGTGTGTGTGTGTTTGGGGGGAGCCAGCCTTCTGTAGTTGCATCCTCTGATTCATCCCGCCGGCACTAATAATGGGCAATCACTTTTGCTGGGTTGTGGAAGGTGAGTGGAAAGGGAAACTAGATGAGGCTTAAATGGTTGGGGTTTGGGGTATTAATTCCCTTCACATACAACAAATTTCATGAGAAACAAGCTGCTTAGTGGTGCCTTGGTCTGTATTAAGTCTCCCAAGCTCTGAAGATGTACCCAGTGAGTTCTGAACTATTCAGTTTTCAACCTAGGCTGATACAGACCCTTGAGGATCTCAGCCCTGGGAGAAGGAATGCCCTCCATGAATGTGATCCATTAAATGAAAGAAGAGGAGAGGATGCAACTCGGGCGCCTTAGGCTGCCCACCAGGTACCAAGCATCCCTGCTTCATTAGCACTTTCTTCAAGTCCTTTGTCTTTCATCCACACCCTTAACATTGAGGATTTTAACACTTCAGTACTCCTGAGAGAATGAGGGTCTGCCAGAGGATGCAGGGCCACTGAGACAGGTGTTAGAACTCTAATCGAGACTGTCCGGTAGAGAAGGCAGGTTGTTGGGTAAAGTGGAAAGCAGCCCTGGCCATAACCAAGTGTGACAAAATAAACAGTCTCTATAGAAGTGTCAATTCCTGTTTCAACCGTCACTGCTGAGTGTAACTGGGAAGTACAGGCAGTGGCCTCCCCTCTTGACTCCTGGAGTGAAGCTCCCCATTCTCCTACTTCTGGAAAAGGCTTGTTTTACCTCTTATTTTTGGATTTTGAAAAGCCTCAGAACCTCCAAATTCCTACTCTGAGGACATCTAAATTATCATTATAGACATAGGTAGAGGAAGAAAGTCCCAATAAAGATCCAATCTTATAGTGTTTAAACACTTCTTTCCCACATCCAAATGATAAAACAGGGTGAGTATCAGTGTACTGCCATATCACACAGTGGCATTCCTTGTTTGATCGAAGGGTAAGTGCCTTTGATGTAAGAGGTCTGCTTACCTCTCAATCCATTTCCCAATAATTCACTTGGGATTTGTAGGCCACTCCAGACAGCCAGCTAGGGCCGGGGCAGTGCTGCCCTGGAAAATGTGGACAAGACTATATTGTGGAAAAGAGTCTCCTGAACATCTCAGTAAAGTGGGCCTTAGCTGGGTGTGGTGACACAAGGCTGGTAAGAGTAAGATTATGAGATTTCCCCCACACTCCACACACACACACACACACACACACACACACACACACACATGGGTGTTATAGTAAATAGCTGTACAACTTGGAAAGGGTCGGCAAGAAGGATCAGGAGTTCAAGGCCAGCCACAGCTACATACTGAGTCTGAGAACAGCTTTGGTTACACAGGGGCTTGTCTTAAAACAAAGCAAAAACAAAACACCCACCAAAATCAAACAAGAGAAAGCACATCCTTAGGTATCAGAATTTTGACCCAACTGGAAAGCTGAAGTATAGAACAACTGGCTTTGTGACAGTGATGAGCAAATATAAAGGGAGCTTAGGCTGAGCTGCCATTTTGAATTCTTACACATGGGAAGTAGATGGCTTGTATATTACCAAGGAAGAAAGAAGTGTGTGTGTGTGTGTGTGTGTGTGTGTGTGTGTGTGTCTGTGTGTGTGTGTATGGTGTGTATGTGTGTATGTGCATTCATCTGCTTTATATTCCCCTGGCGTTCATAAGGACTCTACTTTCTAACCCCACTCCTAGAGCTTCCGAGATGATGAGAGACTTAACAGTCCTAACACGGCTTTGCTTCCTCCTTGGCATGGCTTTGTTTCTTGCTTGGCATGGCTTTGCTTCCTGTTTGGCAGCACCTTATCTCAGTGCTTCTGAACTTTCTGTTTGGGGATTTAAGGAATAACTAATGGGAATATCTTCTAAATGAGCCAGCTCTCATGAATTCCCCAAGCGGAAGAAGCAAGTGGGGGTGGTCTGGTTAATTAGTTGAACTTTTCCTGAGTGTAGCCAGACTGCCTGGTGACTGATGCTAGCAAGGGCAAGAGAATGTTCAAGATGGGAGAAAAGCCCTGGTCTGTTGGTCTGTTTTCTTTGGCCACTTGCGCAGCTTATTTTAAAAGTTGGACTTTTTCCCCCTCAGAAACTATTCTTGGGTTTGTTTTCAGTCCTTCCCAGTAGAAATCTCTCAGCCTGGTCATGTTTGAAAATATAACTTTGGCTTTTTTATTGTTCCCAGAAAGAAAATGTAGCAGTTCCAAATAGCATTAAATGATACCAAATGGCTAAGGGAAAGGGTCATTTTTCCTCTAAAGTAAAAATAGGTGATTTAAGAGAAGTAGGAAGAC